AAGTCACCCTACCAAACTTCCATTTTGCTTAGGTTTGTGCAATTATTATTTTAAGCAAATTCAGTCACTGTGTTATTAAAAATAATAATACCAAAGGCATTCTACTACTACTTCGGCTCGCTCGGCACAAACCTAGGCAAAGTATAATCTCATCCAGTTAAGTAGAAACCCAGGAATCGTTGTCTTGAGAAAATTCACCCTATCAAACCTCTACTCCGCCTAGGATTGTGCAATCAATTTTGCAATTATAATTTTTGACAGGGGCAGATCTTCTTAATAATAGTTCCATAGGCAAACCTAGTCAGAGTAGAAGATCAGCTTTAGAAAAGTCACACTATTAAACTTTCACTTTGCCTAGGTTAGTGCCAATGCAATTATTATTTTAAGCGAATCTAGTGTCACTGTGTTATTAATTAAAAATAATAATTCCATAGACATTGCTGAGGGAGCCGAAGGCGAGTTTGGCACAACCCTAGGCGGAGCGGAGCTTTGATAGGATTACTTTTCTCAAGATGAACTTTTACTATGCCTGAATTTGTACCTTAACTCGAAGAGCTTCTACTCTGCCTAGGTTTGTGCCGAACTCGCCTTCGGCTCGCTCGGCAATGTCTATAAGCTCGGTTTATAGTATTATTGTTTTTAATAACACAGTGACACTAGATTTGCTTAAAATAATAATTGCATAGGCACAACCCTAGGCAAAGTCGAAGTTTAATCGGGCAACTTTTCTAAACGTAAACTTCGGATCTGCCTAGGTTGGCCTATGGAATTATTATTAAGTTAATCTGCCGCTGTTAAAAATTATAACTGCAAAATGATTGCCGAGCGAGCCGAAGGCGAGTTCGGCACAACCCTAGGCAGAGTCGAAGCTCATCGAGTTAAGTATAAACCCAGGAATAGTAAAAGTTCATCTTAAGAAAAGTCATCCTATCAAACTCCTACTCCACCTAGGGCAATCATTTTCCAAATTATAATTTTTAACACGGACAGACTTACCCAATAATACTTCGATAGACAAACCAAGTCATAGTAGAAGATCAGCTTTAGAAAAGTCACCCTATCAAACTTCCACTTTGGCTAGGTTTGTACCTAGGCAATTATTATTGTAAGCAAAGCTAGTGTCACTGTGTTATTAAAAATAATGATACTATAGACATTGCCGAGCGAGCCGAGGGCGAGTTCGGCACCACCCTAGGCGGAGCGGAGGTTTGATATGATTACTTTTCTCAAGATGAACTTTTACTATGCCTGGATTTGTACTTAACTCGAAGAGTTTCTACTCTGCCTAGGTTTGTGCCGAACTCACCTTCGGCTCGCTCGGTAATGTCTATAGCTCGCTGTATAGTATTATTATTTTTAATCACACAGTGACACTTCATTTTCTTAAAATTCCATAGGCATTTCCGAGCGAGCCGAAGACAAATTCGGTACAACCCTAGGCAGAGTGGAAGTTAAACTTCTGATCAACCTAGGTTTGTCTATGGAATTATTATTAAGTAAATCTGCCCCTGTTAAAAATTATAATTGTAAAATGATTGCCGAGCGAGCCGAAGGCGAGTTCGG